ATCCGGGACCCCCGCCCCCCCCAGCCACGCCCCTGCCCCGGCACCCATGGCCACCACAGGTAGGGGGCAGGTTGCCCACGAAGGAGGGGTGGGGGCTGAGCTGGGGGTGTGAACCTGAGGAGCCCCTCACATCGCATGGGCCCGGCGAGGTTGGGGAGGGTGTCCCCCACCGAGGCCAGAGTGCAGGCTTGGGGGTCACGTGTGAGCAGGGGCCTCAGTGTAGTGCCCTCTGAGCCCTGTTCGCCCCCACCTGCCCCCAGGCCTCCCTCCTCTGCTTCCTGCCGAGAACAAAGCCTTTGCCAGCAACCTCCCGACCCTGAGTGTGGCCAAGGCCCCTGCATCTGGGCCAGGGAAGCCCTCGGGGCTGCAGGTAAGGGGACGGGGTGGAGGGCGGGCCAGCATGTCACCAGCGAACCGGGAAGGGCCAGTGGGGCAGGGAGGTGGTGGGCGGGCGGATGAGACAAACCCAGCAGGACAGTGGGCGGGGGCATGTGAGAGACCCACAGACACCGAGCCCACAGGGTGACGCTAGGAGAGAGGGCCTGAGACCGATGTGGTCCCCGGGGATGTGGTCCCCGGGGCGGGAGCAGGGGAGAGGTTGAGAGGGAGGGGGAGGGATGTGAGAGTGGCAGGTGGCAGCTCAGGACAGGTGGGTGAGAAACTCAAGAGGATCTGGAGAGACCTTGGGAGGGGGCGGGACTGAGGCAGGGACCACCTGTTGGAAATGGGGGGACAGGAAGACAGGACACATCTATAGAAATGAGAGGGGCAGGTGAGGGACCCGGCTGGAGAGACTTGGAGACAAGACCCACCACAGCCGTGCAGGGGTGCAGGGGGCCTGGGCGTGGTGAAGGCAGAGTGAGGACTCCCGTGGGAAGAAGGTCTGCGAATCGCAGGCCACGGAGACCGTGGGAGGGCAGGAGGGGAGGGAGACGCCGGGTGTTCCTGGGGTCCAGACAGGAGGCAGGCGGAGGCCACTCATGAGAGGGGCTGCAGGGTCCCTGGCTGGGGTGCCAGGGCTCGCGCCTGCGTGTCACCTCCCCTCGCCGTGCCCCCCACCAGGGCCCAGCCCAGGTCTTCCCTTGGGGCTGCAGGTAAGGGGCCCTGGGGAGATGGGCCTTGTCTTTGCCCCAGGCTGGAAGGGGGGTCAGGGCGCAGAGGGAGGCCGGGCTTCCCCGTGGGATCCCCCACTCGCCTTTCTGTCCGCAGTATGACAGCAAGTTGAGTGGCCTGAAGAAACCACCCCCACTTCAGCCCAGCAAAGAAGCCTGGTGAGTGGCAGCGCGCCCTCGTGTTCCCCGCCCCCAGCCTTCCAGAGGCCCGAGGGCCGAGGGGCCCGCCCTGCAGCAGGGGTCGGGCAGCTGGGGTGCAGAGTCCTGCGCCACCTCCTCTCAGCCCCGCGGCTTCCCAGGGCCGGTTCCCTCACAGACCCTCAGTCTCCCTCGCTGGAAAATGGGTGCTGACAGTCACGAGAATAGGCTGAGGGGTGAGGATTCGATGAGACTGTGCTACGAGCATTCACGTGGCACCGCTGCGCTGCCAGCATTAAGAGGGAGGCACTGGTGTGCCCTGGTCACTGCGCACCCGGGCACCAGGGCGGGTGGGCAGTGGAGGGGTGGTGGGTAGATGGGTGGAGGGGTGGGTGCTTGCCTGCGCACTCTCCCTGTCTCCTCCTTCCACCAAGTGTTGGTCAGGTGCTCACTCCTTGCCCGCCCTGTGCTGGGTTCTGGAAACAAGACGGACCCAATCCTGCCCCATGGTGTGTGGGCACCGCTGGTCTTCAGCACAGGGTCGGGGAGACCATCACACGATGGAGACATAACTCACTAACCTGCGCTCAGGTGGGAAGCCTTGTGAGAGAAGAATAGGATTTTACCGGCTCAGCAACCTCCCTGAGCTCCTGAGGTTGCGGTTGGGCCGCTGGCAGCGTGGGGCCGTGCTGCCCCCCGGTGGCGGGAGACGGCATAGCATGGGATGCGGTTCAGGCTCTGCCGCTGGCTCCCAGCTCTGCCGCTTCCTTCCTCGCTGTATGTTTTGAGTGGAGGCACTTCCCCTTTCGGGGCCTCAGTTTTCTCATCTGTGAGATGGAGATAAAGAGAGCACGGCTGCCTTTGGTTGTCACCAGAGACTCAGGGAGACAGATCAGGACAGTCCGCGCCTGTGTCCTAAGTGTCCTCTTGCACCTGCTGTTGTCGGCCTGGGGGCCTGGGCCGGGGGCCTTTCTCCTGGCCTCACCACCAGCTCTGCGCGTGTGGTCCCCCCCCCCCCCCCCCCCCCAAAACATCAGGGCGCCGTCCTGCACCCGGACTACAAGACAGCCTTCCCCTCCTTCGAGGACGCCCTGCACCGCCTCCTGCCCTACCACGTCTACCAGGGCGCCCTCCCCTCCCCCAGTGACTACCACCGAGGTGAGGCCTCCCGGGACTGCCCCCACCGGGCCCTGCTTTGCGGAGGGGGGGGGCAGGCATGCTGCCCCGTCAGTCCGCCCCAACGTCTGGGCCCTGGGGCCTCTGCTCTTCCTCGCAGTGGACGAGGAGTTCGAGACGGTGTCCACGCAGCTGCTGAAACGCACCCAGGCCATGCTCAACAAGTACCGCCTCCTGCTCCTGGAGGAGTCCCGGGTAGGGTGGCCTCGCCTTCCTCCCCTTCCCTCGGGGAGGGAGGCAGGGAGGGAGGGAGGCTGGCCGTTAGGTCACAGCTCTGACGCTCGCATCCCCTCCCTCGGTCCTGGCTCCTTCACTTGCCCATCCTCTCCCCCCTCAGAGGGTGAGCCCTTCCGCGGAGATGGTGATGATCGACCGGATGTTCATTCAGGAGGAGAAGACCACCCTCGCCTTGGACAAGCAGCTGGCCAAGGAGAAGCCTGGTGAGGGGGGTGTGGCGGGGAGGGCAAGGTGTGCCCCCTCCTTCTCTTGTGCCCTAATTAGACTGGGGCAGAGGGCACGGCCGCACCTTACTTGGCCGCTAGGTGGCGCCGTAGCCCCGCCTTCCCTGGTGGCTGGTCTCCCTGGGAACTGAGCTCCTGTTCACCCCTCGTCCTGGCCTGGAGGGACCTTCTTCCCGGGGATAGAAAAGCAGGGGCGCACAGCCAGACTGGGGGGGAAGCAAGCAAGGTACCCCGGTTGCAAAATGTAAGGTGGCATCCATCTCGGGTTCCGGTGCCCGCCCTCCCGCACAGTGCTGGGCTGTGGGCATTGCTGGGAAGGGCCCGGGGTGGTAGGTGCTCAGTGCATGCCGCCCCTCAGCGCGTCCGCTCCGGCGCCGGGCACTCCCTCACCCGGGTTCCTTGGCCCCCTCGTTCTGCAGATGAGTATGTGTCTTCCTCGCGCTCTCTCGGCCTCCCTGTCGCCGCCTCTTCGGAGGGACATCGGGTTCCCAGCCACTGCCCACCGCCGCCCTCTGCGTCTGGGACGCCCGCCCAGCCCCCGCTGCACCTGCCCACCAAGCTGGTG